ACACATACATACACACTGGGTTATAGTTTATCATTATATTGTCTTTTAAAATACAATACATTATAATGGAATAAATAATACACATTGGTATAATATGTTCACACTGGGCTTCCACTAAATAGATGAAAAACACTAAAAAATTGTCAAAACAGGGAGATGTCATGAATTTGTTTTTGCGTATCTGTTGACCGACTTAATTAGCTGATTATTAGCTGAATTGCTGTGTTATGTCTGTCATCGTTTAGGCCTATTTGAAGTTTTGGACGGAACTTGGTTCAGTGATTTGGAACTAATTACCAGATAACCGCCGCTATTTAGACTATTAATTCTGACAGTTGGTTTCCATAGTTATTAATGTAGTGAACGATTAATCAAAAGATATGACGTATTCAGTACTTAGTGTGATTGGCTTTATGATTGAAGGTTACGCCCTAGAGTCTTTTTACTGTTTTGTAATTGGTTAGAGTTTTGAAAATGAATAAAGAGAGTTTGAGTTGGTCTTGGCGAGTACTCTAGAACAGACGCAGTCCTGGAGAGTCGAGTCGAGTCCTGGAGAGCCTTGGGGCGAGTGTTGACGCAGTCTAAGACAGTCTTGGGTCAGCCTTGCGATAGTCTTGGGGATTTTTCCCCAGGGCGCTGTGTCTGATAGAGTGCTCGATTGACCGACTAAGACGAGAGCTGAAACGTATTTCGTTGTGTGTGCCTTATTTGACTGTAAAGTATAAGTGACTTCCCCGATCCCGTACCTCAAGGGGACGAGATATAGAGACGAGACGAGATTCCCCCCTGGCAAGTGTGGAAAACCCGAGAGTAGAAGAGAATTACCCCTGATAGAGACAACAGCTGGCCATTATAGAAGCAGGGAGACAGTACCTGGTCATTTTGAAAACAGGAAGAAGGTACTCGGTTATTTTGAAGCGACAAGAGTACCCGGCCATTGTAGGAACAGGGAGACAGTACCTGGAATTATTTTTGTAGCCAAATATACATGTAATCTGCTACTGATATTTGGAGAAACATTGGTGGTAGTCAACCTGATGGTGAAAGTGACATCATTTGTTGTGGTCAAATCTAAATGTACTCTGTTATTGTTACCTGAAGAAAGGTTAGTGATAGTCCAGCCATTGATGGTGAAAGTGACATAATGTGTTGTGGCCAAATCTCAATGTAATCTACTATTTGTATTTGGAGATGGTTTAACAGAGACCCAGACCATACATTTGTATACTTTTTTAAACAGTAAATTAAATATTTCCATATACATGTTTGCAATGTACCTAACTGCCTTTTCAAAATGTGTTTATACATACAGCATTTTGATAGAGTGCAGTCTACATTCATTCACAACAATTTTCAGTGGGTAATCTTTACTCACTGCTATGCATGTTGGACAGTCCACCTTCCCCTCAGCAATGTATTCTATCAGTTCACCCGTTGCAGAGTATTTGCATATTCTCTTATTACCAGTATCACAGATATAAACATTGTTATCTTTGTCTATATCAACCCCACATGGCACGTTGAATTTGTTAATCCCATTTCCCAGAGATCCAAAGCTTTTCAGATAGTGGAGACTTGAATCCATAATCTGAATACGGTGGTTGCGAGAATCTGAGATATATATTTGATTATTTGTGTTCACTGCAACTGAGTCTGGATGAATGGGTTGTCCTTCAGTGGATCCAGGGATTTCTGTGACCATGACATGCTCACCGCTTATTGTGTACTTTCTTATATAGTGCCTATCTTTTTGTCTGTCAGTAACCAGTACGCATCCATCGTTGGTCAGTGTGACACCATACGGATTGATACCCTCATTCGGACCAAATGTGGTTATCACATGTTCTTCTGTACATACAACTATTTGTTTATTTCCACGGTCAGTTACGAAGTATTTACCATCATCTGACACAGCTATGTCCCTAGGTGTAAATGGTTTCGGAAACAGATCACATTTGAGACAATTCAGACAATGGCCTCTCCAGTCAAGAATCTGGATTCTATGGTTGTTTGTATCGGCAACCACTATTTGACCATTATTATTTATAGCAACTCCCCAGGGTATATTAAAATACGACTTCCTTGAGCCTTCAGATCCAAAGCTATACACACTACCAACTGGTGGTAAAACCATAATTTCAAATGGTGCTCCTTTAACCCGCTGGTTGCTTTGTTTTACCATTAAAGAATGAATACCCTCTTGTTTGAATTTTACTGTGCATGGAATGACTCCCCCACACACACCACCGATTCTTGATAATAATGATACATTCTGATGTTCTCTATCTGGAGTAGTCATAGTCACGAGTATATCCTGCTGTTGTACTGACGAATTCTCTCTTGTATATATTCTAATCTGGAGTTCATCGCCTAAATTTATTGATTTTTTCATCCCTTTAACTTCCACTTTTAATTCAGCTTGTTGGTGGACAAGTTCTTCATGTAGAATATTTTTATTTGGAATGAAACATAAGCTGCTGTCCATATCTGATAAGCTTTCTATCTCTCTATCTTTCAAGACGTGATTGAGACGCTCAGTGACATTTTTAAGTGAAAATAAACATTGTGAAGGACTTGCAAATTTCATTATATTTTCTACAAAGTCATCTGCACTCTCTAACATTGCTTTTGTCAATTCCAAATTCTTTTTCTGTGATTCTAATTTGCTGTTTCTGTTGTTGACGATTCGACCGAGCTGCTGTTTTGCTTCCGTTTGTTTCTTTAATACATGATTGATGACACACTGTGCATGCTGATCGATTTCGTCCACTGTTTTATTATGGTTTTCACTCAGTTTTTCCATTTCTTGGCCAACATCAGTAATCGCCATATCGGCAGCTTGAATTTTGTTCTTCAGTTCTTCAATCTGAGGCTGAAGTCGTTCCTTGGCGTCTTTCGCCGCTTCTTCCAAGTATTGGTGTCTATGTCCTGGAGTTGAGTGGTCAATAAGAGCACACTTAATACACAGCGGTATCTGGCATACTGTGCAATAAATTTCCACTGGACTTTGTTTATGCTTATTACAGTACACAATGGTCTGTGCTTTTTTTACACCATTAATTGCCTTTTCGGTATAATGCTTCAAATCTATGACACTGTGGGCTTTTGTGAACTTCAAATTTCTATGTGCTTTCGTACACATTTCACACAAGTTCTGTGAGCAGTTAGTACATCTGGATACCGCCATAGTTTCTTGACAAGCTTCACAAGATTTATCTTCTGTTTTTAAAAGTTTTATTGTCGACATATAGCCAGAAAGCTCCGTTAGTAAAAAATTTGTCTGCAAGGCACTTACGTCATTGTCTGGCATCTCTCGTCTGCATATTGGGCATGTCAACTTACCGGAATTCTTTTTCATCCAGAGTTCCAAACAGTGTTGGCAAAAGCTGTGTAGACACGGCAGCACCTTGGGTGTCCTAAATGGCTCTAAACAGAGACTGCATGTCAGCATCTCCTCTCTGATTTTCTTTTTAGTGGCTGGAAAGTTAGACGCCATGATGAAGTGAAATAAATTTTCATCAATTCACTGTCCCTAGTTAGTTCACTGTAGCTGCCAAACAATACTGTAATGTTCTGATATTTGCAGTGCATGTCAGGATCACAGATATCAGTTTCATGAAAGGTGGCTGTGCATATGTGAAATGAGGTGTGGTTGTTTGTGTAGTTTTTCCTCGAAGCTATTGACTTTAATGACGTACCCGGAACGCCCCTTATTGTACCAATTGAGAAGTGCTTCCAACGAACTGTTTTTAAGTGCTTCAATTTATTATTCTACACCTCTTACTAAAATTAAGCCATTGAAACATTTCCCAGGTTGATCAGAAACATGTCTTAACATGTCTAGGACATCGTGCCAGAAACATTTACGATACAATTCATTATTTTAAAATCAGTTCAAGACTAGTTTGTTAAGTGTAGACATGTTTCAGACTAGTCTTGAAAACATCCCAGATATTATCAATAAATTTTAAAATGTTTAGTCAGACAATGTCACAGTTGTCATAACTCGCATTGAGATACATGCCATGGTCAACACACGTTTCCGTCACGTGAGTATCTCGTTAAAATGTCTTGAGAAGTCATATATATCTGTTTAGTGTGCATTCTTAGCTTAATATAAGTGTCAGAAGTAAGGGATACAACTTATTTCCGCCTTCCGTTAAATCACTTTTTTTTTTACCGGCCGACCTTCCATTATAGTCGCGACCTAGGACGGTTACCACAGATACGTATTCAAAACAAATAATGCATGGTCCTGCAGTTTATAGTGCAAATTGTGATCGAATAAATTTGAGAACTATAATCTTTCATCGCTCATTTCATTTAGTCATGCAGTTTCTCTGTTAAAGTTCGAGTTACTAAATTTGGACTTTTCAACAAACACACAAATGTATGTTGTTCGTAACTTGAAGTTTTGTTAGTTGTTACAGCAAGTCTCAGAAGTATTGGGGCAGCCAATTTGCAAACCTGCTAGCGAAAAGACCTATGCACAAGATGTTTAGAATTGGTTTCTTAAAGAGATTTTTGGATGAGAACATTCAACACCCTTAGAAAACATTTCTAAACAAACGTCTTAGACAAGTGGGTGGTACATTTTTATTCAAGTGTAATTTTGAGACAAAACTGCTTAACCTGTCCTTGCCACAGTTTTACATAGAAGCATTCGAAGCTTGGTCGTCATGTAATACAATTAGTGATAAAACTATTGAACTTAATTATGTCCCTGAACAAATGATTTGGAATAATAGGCACATACTAATTGGAGGCACATCTGTGTATTATAAGGATTTAATTGTTAGGGGATTTAGATATGTTCATAACTTGTACCGTAATACCCACCTAATGCAGTGGCAAAACCTTCAGGATAGGGGATTGAGTCAAATTGATATACTGAAGCACCTGAGTGGAAGACTTTGGAATGTGAAGATAGTTTTGAAAAATTAAATACAGACCAGTATTGTTTTGATAACGAATATATTAAAATTTCTAAAATTACAAAACTGAAATTTAAGAAAGTTCTGCAAAGTCAAAATGATTCTGTTCCTATCAGTGAGGGCTACTATGAAAGAAAGTTTGAACCAACTAGAGATTGGAAAGCCACATATAACTTGCCATTTAGAGTGGCAATAGATGTTAGGACCAGAGAATTTCAGTTCAGATTACTCCACCATATTTCATATACTAATTATGACCTAAAGAGAAGGGGGGTACAAAAATCTGAATTATGTACATTCTGTGGAGGTGAGACACTTGAACATCTTTTCTTTTCATGAGATGCAACAAAATTTTTCTGGTTAAAGTTCCTCCATTGTTTCCGAGATGCATTAGTAATGAGGGAAGTGCCAAGTCTAGGTGAAATTTTATTTGGGGAAGCGACTTTGTCTAGGTTGCACAACCACTTACTGCTTCTGGCTAAAAGACACATTTATCTTATGAAAATGAGAAACCTAAAACCCCATTTTCCAACTTTTCTGAACCAAGTCAAGTATAACTATCATCTTGAATACAACATTGCTGTGAACATAGACACACTTGAAACGCACTGTAATAAGTGGATTAAAATCCACCAAATTGTTATGTCTTGAATGCACTTGTATATTAGTCTGTATATGTACGCAGTGTATTCTGCTTACTGTATGTATTATGAATGATTACCAAAAAAAAATTATAAATATATAAAAAAAAAAAAAACTTGCTAGCGAATTGGCTAACTGCTTGAGTTTTGACTGAACGATTGGCTTTCGCATCTCGCTGGCGCCGACTTGTGATGGCGTCTACTCTGGGCGAGTCTATATTGCAGTAGGGGACATAGAATGCTTTTAACGCAGCCTGGTTTGAGCCATCTTGAACACTGCTTAAAACTACAAAATGTTAATAGTCAAGTTGAGAAAAAAAATCCTACAAATCAGGGAGAAAATAACAAACTTTCACATACAAAAGATCTGTTGAGGTAAAATTAAGCCGACCGTTAAAAAGTCATTCGTCATTTTTACGTGGATACGAAAGAAATATTCAAAAGCGAAATCGCCACCCAACTGTAAAACCGTCGCTGATTAGCTCAAGTATGACGATCGTCCCCTACTGTTATATAGATTCGCCGTAAGTGGGCGTGATCTCAAGACGGCGCCAGCGAGATTCGAAAGCCAACTGTTTAGCCAAAACCCAAGCAGTTAACCAATTCGCAAGCGAGTTTGCAAATTGGCTGACCCAATACTTCTGAGACTTGCTGTAATTGAACATTCATTGAGTTTCAATTTCGGTGTGGTTTTGCAAAAAGTGGCCGCAGTTTATAAAATATGGGCATTTCAACTTTACAAATGTAAATACATTTGTTGAATAACCAACTCCTCTCTTTGATTCAGTTCTGACCACGGG